ATTAATGCTAGGTTTTAATTTAACCACACCCATCATAAAAATAAAAGTCTCTAAAGTCAACATTTATACCAATAGTGATAAACAGTGAAAAATATTTTCATCACTTTTACATTTAAACTATCTTTAAGTCTTTAAGTGATATTAAGTCTCTTTGGATTATCTTTTTTGTCATAAAATCATTTTATACTCATTGAAAAGGACAATAGCACATCAACACCTTGTCCATGTAACTGTTTTAATGGAAAGAAACTAGATGAAGGTAAGATTCTGTTCTGAGGTATATCACTGATTCTTTACTTGAAACTAGAAAAATATTGCCTCATTTAATGCTAAAAAGTTTTAAAAGCTGAAAATAATTTTTAAATTAGTAACACTCAAGTATAAGTCTAATAAATATTAACAATAAAAAGGCTGGGCAGAGTGGTGATGAGGGGCAGGACAGAGAAAAATAAAATAAAAGTTTATTTATCTTTGTAAGCAAAGTAACATTTTTTCTGGGAGTCCTTCACAATTTGAGTACAAGCAAAAATACTTATTTTTTTTTAAAGATAGAGAGTATAATGAAAGTGGGATATTTTGTTATATCTAATGTATAGACTTAATAATGTAACTGGCCTGCTCATTTGGGTTTAAAAGGTAGATTGACTGGGACTCATGGGTGGCTCAGTCAGTTAAGTGTCTGCCTTTGGGTTCAGGTCATGATCTCAGGGTCCTGGAACTGAGTCCCACAATGTTCTTCTTGCTCAGCAAGGAGCCTACTTCTCCCTTTGTCCGTTGTGCCCCCTGCTTGTGTGCTCTCTCTCTCTGACAAATAAATAAAACCTTTAAAAAAAAAAAAAGGTAGATTAATCATATGTGTGTATGTCTTCTAGCTCTCAAAATCTTGCTAAAATGAAGGGAAATAAATTTTCTTTAAGAAATTACTAACTCATAAGGACAATGAAAATGGGCTTGGTGACAACAGAGATAAGGATTTCAATGAATTTTTATAAGATGGAGAATAGATGGAGAATATACCAAGCAGAAGTCCCAAACCATGTGTCTTAGAATAAGAGGGCCAAAAAGGAGCCCATTCACCCTGTAGAGCCTAGTGTACCACACAAGGAGAAGTGAAGTTAAGAAAAGCTCAAAAGACAGAGTTAAGATCAAGTCCACAGGTCCCTCCCTACATTCACACACAACACTACTCAGTAACTGAGTTCCCTCTGCCACTAGCAGAAAAAGGGAGATTTTCCAAAGACACTGACAGACCAGAAAGAAACAAAGCAGAGTATGGATGAACCCATGAGCATTCAAGGAAAATCTATCAACTGAACATACTTCCCCGAGGCCCCTCTGTCCACACCATTCCCTAAATGACAGCAACAGATAGACACTGCCTCAGTCAAGATACTGGTGCTGCATTCTCTGGAAAAAGTTTGAATAATAACTTTGGGGGTTTCCAAAGGAGAAATGTCTTTGTGCTCTAATGAAGTCCACAGATGGCAGCCTTAGCTGGAACTCAAGGAGCTTCCAAAGGTTTATTTAGTGTTTTTTGTCAGCCCAGCATCAAAGACATTTGAGAAAAGTCTCCATTAGGAAAGAGAGATTGAGGGTGGGCTGGAGAAGGAACCAGAAGATACAGAAACAATGCAGGGTGCTGAAGAGAAAAGTTTATATTATCCTGAGAGAAAATAAAATCAGGATTCCATGAAAATGAAATAAAGAACAAGATAAAAGGGGAAATTAAAATATGTGAAAATCAAAATTAAATATTCAATAGAAGTACTAGAAAATTAAGTTGAAGAAATAACTGAAGTAGAACAAAGAGACAGAACTGAAAACTAAGAGAATAATTACTTTTAAATTAGGAGATTATTTAGCATATAGATCCAAGACTAATAGGAATTCTAGAAAGTAAAGGAGAAGGGAGAAAAATAATGAAGAAATAAGCAGGAAAATTTCACAAGACTAAAGTTTTAAGCCTCCAATATTGAAGTACACACCTAGTTCCAAATACACTGAATGAAGAGAGACCCACCCAAAGCTGCAGATGAAGGGAACAACCTAAAATTTTCTAGATAAATAAAGAGCTCATATATAAGTAATGGGAATCAAAATAGCATTGGCTTCCCAAACAGCAAAATTGGATACTAGAAGACTGAAGTAATTGCCTTCAAATTTGAAAGGATAATGACTTTCATCTGAGAATACTACACCCATTCAACAGAGTACAAAGGTCCCCTAAAAATATTTTGTGACACGCAAGCATCCAAAAAGTTTAAGAACATTCCAGAACATTCTTTTTAAGGAAAGTACTGGAAGATACACTTCAGCACAACAGGAGAGTTAAAAAAGGAGAGTGTGTAAGTGATGAATTACTAAATTCTACACCTGAAACTAATATTACACTGTATGTTAACTAACTGGAATTTAAATGAAAACTAGAAGGGAGGAAGGAAGGAAGGGGACAGAGAGAAAGAAGAAAGGGAGAGAGAAAGGAAGAAAGAAAGAAAGGAAGGAAGAAAAAAGGAAAAAAAGAAAAGAAAGGAAGGGAAAATCATAGGACATAAGAGAGATTCCAGTTAGAAAAGAAGCAAATGTGAGCTCCAGGACAGTGGCCATACAGCAGACCTAAATTCAAATCCCACTGCAGCAAGCCGCTACCAGAATGGAGTATCCAGGAAAACAAAACTGAGAGCAACCGCCATGTTTGGCCACATGGAAACAGTACAGAGAGGGCTTTTATAATCTTTTTGGAAGACTTGGGAAGAAGAAATAATACCTACATAGAAAATTAAGAAAACAAACAAAAGAGAAGGCAATTATTAACTCCAAGAAAAACAAAAAGGTCTATGAGAAAGGAAAGGTGATCAGCATTAAACAGTAATTATATAGTAATAATAATGTAAACATTAAATATTGATTCAACCCCAAATTGTGCAATAACTATATTGGCAGGATGGTAAATGGGGAAGAAGAAGAAATACGAAAACTAAATCCTCAACTATCATAGTGGAAAATCAAATGCCAGAAGAAGCTAAAGAGAATGAAATTTTTCAGAAAACAGAGAATTGGAGATTGCAAAGAGGTAAGTGTTTCTTCGTAAGACTTTTAGCACTATTTTATTTTGTAAACTATTTTGATGTACAGTACTGATTACAGAATATAAATATAAAATTTAATAAGCTTAGATAGAAAAGAAATCAAGCTACTACAATAAAAGATTGTATTAAATGTAACCAAGGAAATGATTACAGCTGATCTTAGTAAGAAAATAAAATGCAGGGTTGGCTATTACCCAGAAACATGGCCTGAATAGCCATCAAAGGCATCATATATCAACACAAAACAAAATTAAATCAATCCTATTTAAATAGGATTAATAATAATTAATTATTATTAATTAAATTATTATTATATAACTTATTATTAATAATAAATAATTATTATTAATTATTATTAATAATAATCCTATTTAAATCCTATTTAATAATAATATATATTATATATATAATAATATATATTATACCTATATATTTAATAATACATAGGTATAATAAATTTGATTTCTATTAATTCTCACTAACTTATAAATCAAAATATCTATAGGTATATAAATGGGAACAATTCTTAAAGAAACACAAGTCTAATTTATAAAAAGAAAAAAAACTGAAAGTTTATGGCAAACAAAATTATAATTAATTTCAAATGATTAAGCAAATTTGTGTCCAAGGTGAAGATTTACAATTACTTTGTCTCATTTTATATTTCTGCCCTGGCCTGGAAATATTTCCAAGTAACTTTGCATTGGAAGTTAGCCAGAGTTCCTGTTTGGGGTTGCTTTTTATATTTTAAACTAATATAGGATGTCCTTAGAAAAATCTGGACAGTAAATATAATTGTTGTTATTGAAGACACATGGTGATGGTTAAGGTGCACATTTGGAATTGCCTTCATGAAGAACTAGATTCTATTAAAACTAAGAGAATCAGCTTTAAAATGTTACCATGTGTCTCTCACATCAATAACATTTAGGGAAATGGTCCCCAAAGCTAAATGCCTAGGGCAATCCACTGGAGGACAGGAAAAAATATTGAAACCGTTATTTTGATTCTTTAGTGCACCCCTTTATATTTTATTTGAGGACTTTATACACTTATATTAAATAACTGTATAGTGATGCAGTTATAGAATTCATAAGTAAGCATATATACATTGGCGGTATATTACAAAAAGAAGTTTTACTGATGGAATGTCATGAGCAAAAAATATTTAGAGACCACTGATTTAGATATGTATATCCCTACTTATAGTTGGTGAACGATTAATAGTCCATGAGAGTAACACAAGTGTTCATGAGTGGAGAAGAACAAGAGAATACAAATTATCAATCTAGGCTAGAAAGTTAATTTTAAGTTATGATTGAGAATTATACAATTGCCCGGGGAAAAACAACCTCCTCACTTGTAAAATTTTAGCCAACATTAGGCCTACCTGTATCAGTTGATTTGATAAAAACTGATGCTGAAATAAACAAATACCTAGATTTGTCATAGCTCCTGATATGTACACTTGTCACCCATATGGTATAGACTATATTAAAATAGTTCAAAACAATGTGCTCACGTGGTGGTCATAAAGGCTTTTGCTGATGAAGTGGTGTTCTATAGAGAGAAAAAAAACCTAGCCACCATTGAACTGTGAATTAAATACTTAAACATTGAACAGTACTTTATTCTCTATCTTGGGCAAAATATAACTCAATCAAGAACTACACTAGGGATGGCCCAATACAGTAGCCACCAGTCACACAGGGATGTTCACTTAATTAAAATTTGATAGAATTTAAGATTCACATCCTTAGTCACACAAGCCACAATTCAAATGCCCAATAGCCATATACTGGACAATGCAGATATAGAATATCCCCTTAAGTATAGAAACTTCTATTGAACAACTCTCTCTTGAATAATATTCAGTAATTATTAAATTAAAAATTTTAAGATTCTGATACTTACTAACTGTTACTTTGTCTTTGTCCCCCAACATAATGTTGTTTGGTGTCAGATCTCTATGCACAATCCTCTTCTCCTTGTGTAAGTACCGAAGAGCTAAGCACAGCTTGAAAGAGCAAATAAAAAACAAATTTTATTCTCCCCAATATACATATCACTAGTAATGACTACTATACACATGCCTAAGAAAACAGCTCAGAAATTTACTGTTTGTTAAAACAAAATTAATGGAAACAAAAGTGTACCTGTATAAATATTTTCCATAGTCTTTCTTCAACAAAATGATGTTGTTTTTCCTTCAAAGAACTGAAATGCTCTCCAAGAGGGACCCCTTCTATAAGCTCCATAACTATATACAACCTATCATCTATAGAAAACAAGGAAGACATAATAGAAATTTAAATTTAATATATTTAGAAAAAAACTTATGAATTAGAATCTGAGCTTCCCAACACGTGTGCAGGGCACAGCACTGAAGAGTTAGAGCTGTGCTAAGATATGGATCCAGTCAGTCCTGGAGGCAGTGGAGGTGAGGAGCTCTTGGGGCTCCTGGGGCCCAGCAACAGTCTCTTTTGGCTATGGACTACCTTGTCGCGTAAGTTTAAGCTGGCAAATATTATCATTTTCTATGTACACCAATATGTGGAACAGTTGGGAGGTGCCAAAGAGAACAAGGTAAATGATGCCAAGTCATGGAGCCATTTCCTAAAGAACATGTAAACCCACCTTTCCTCTCAGAAGTTTAAAATTTACCCTTGAATCATGTCAGAAATTCAGAAAATTGCATTTTAAACTATTGTTTGACAGCCTCATGGATGTACCTCACAGAATTTTACAAGGGAATCATGCCAAGTTCTTGCAATGACGCAGGTGAAAACATAACCCACCACAGAAATGTGTCATGCCCCTCTAGAACAGAGAAAGCTGGACTTCTACTGGGTTTATCTTATGGACAGAGGAAATCCCATAACTGATTGCATTCATCTCTTTCCTTTGGATGTCAAGAAACAAAGTAAATGAGACTTTCTCCTCCCAAACCAATATGAAACTATTAACAATGGCATGTGACATGTATCCTTTGTGATATTGTGGATGCATATAAAATATATATGTACACGATATTCACAAAAGTGGAATATTTACTATACATGTTCTACCACTTATGCTTTTTCATTCAGCAGCCTACCCTAAGAGTACACACAGATCCATGCCATTCTTTCTGCTGGCTGCATAGTATTCTACAACACAGATGGATCATTCTTTAGTCTCCTAAAGACAGACAGACATATTGTTTTCAATTGTTCATTATTCAAAGAAATACTCAGTGTATATACTAATCTTACTCCTAGCTTAATTTTTTCCTTTCTTATATTAATTGATTTTTTTATTGAAGCATGATTAACATACTGTATTATATTAGCTTCAGGTGTTCAATATAGTGATTTCATAGTTCTATACCGTACTCAGTGCTCATCACAGTAAGGGTACTCTTAATACCATAATTCCCTAATTCAATTTCATATAATTTCCTAATCTATTTTATCATATTTCATGTATTTTTAAGCCACTTTCAACTCTTTTTGTAAAAGTTTTATTTTGTTTTTAAATTAGTCTAAGTTGTGTCACTTCAGTAGTGCAAGTCTGAAGCCAATCCTGATCTCTAATGGGATATGCACTAAATTATAAGAAATTATTCTAATATCAAGAATTCTAATATGAAGGGAGCAGGATTTACTGGACAGTTTCAGCACTGGGTTCCTCTGAGTCACCTAGGGGAAGGGAGATGGGTAAAATCTTAAAATGCCACACTATGCAATAGGTTTGCATGGTAATAGCACTTACAAAGTGGCAATGAGGAAGTCCCAACCGTTGCCTTGTACTTCTTTAAATCTTCCTCCACATGATTTTCTTTGAAACTTCATATGTGATGCACATCATTAAGGTTTCTCAATACTTTTATTGTTTTGGTCAAAGGTCTTCAGCATGTTACGGAGTTTGGCTTTATCTCAACCTTTTTTTTTTTTAAGATTTTATTTATTTATTTGACAGACAGATCACAAGTAGGCAGAGAGGCAGGCGGAGAGAGAGAGGAGGAAGCAGGATCCCCGCTGAGCAGAGAACTGGATGCGAGGCTCGATCTAAGGACCCTGGAATCATGACCTGAGCCAAAATCAGAGACTTTAACCCACTGAGCCACCCAGGCATACCTTAGCTCAAACTTTTGATCCTTGCGCCTTAGAGGGCCTGTCTGCGGAGTCAGGGCTCCATCGCCACCTTGTGGTAATTACCTGAACTTCACATAAAATAAATCTAAAGACGTAGCACTCTCAGTTTATTGGGGGGGGGGGCGGTGAAAAATATCACCTGAGTCAACGAAAACAACTTTTCATTTTGTCTTATATAAGCTATCAACCTTTAGTTTGCTGCTTTCCTGATCCTACTATGGTTTTGTGTGTGTGTGTAAGAAAAGAGCTATAATAATTATTTTGCTTTGTTCGTGCAGTGTCTTTCATATAGGAGTCTAAGTACTAAGTATCTGTAGGTCATTGATTATTATAGCACTGTTTCACTGATCAATAAGTAATGCACAAGATCCTCCACAAATAAAGAAAATACTTGGGAAAAAAGAAAAGAATTAAGTTTATTTTGTGACATTCTAATATAGATAGAAATATACAATATAGATACTTTTCCTTAATTAGAAAGATCATGAAAACTCATACTTACTTTCCAGAAATGTTTTGTAATAGCGTACAACATTGGGATGATAGAGCTATAAGAAAATAAATAACAAACATCACATTACTTGAAAATATAATTGGGACTATAACTGAAAATAATTGAAAACAACACAGAAATTATTGTATTCATTTTTATCTATAAAATTAAGCATTTCAAGATGTCATCTAATTGAGATTTGAGATTTTTATCATGATTCTTATTATTTGCTACCTACAAAACTAATCTGAAAATAGCAATCTCCCATATAGCCTTCTCAATTAGAATTAAAAACGGATCGTACTTTAAGCACCTAATTTAACCAAAACAGAGAACTGTAGAAGTCAAAGTAACCTGAAGAATTCATGTAGCGCTCCCCATCCCAACACTACACACACATTGCAAAGAGAAGAAAACTGTAATAAAGCAATTTATGTTGAATATGTACACCATTGCCTCCCCATCCCTATTACTTAAATATTCCTATGTACTGTTTATGTCTATTCACACTTTGTGTCTTTCTATGTTCTCCAAAATGGTTAGTATGAAAGTGAAGTAATCTAAGTGTTTACATTATAATAATACTTGGAAAGGACTTCCTTCTTGGCCAAACTTTAGTCACGCTTCTCTGAGCTCTCTTCTTGACTAGACTTCATTCTTGGACTGCCTAGGTTTACCAAGAATCCTGCCAAACCAGATTAGCAAGATCTCCCCACTCTTGATATCCCAATCAAGTTCCTCATCATCCCATCTTTGATAGCTAATGAAGTCCTTCCAAGTAATTTTCCATCCAGGCACCCTTTCACCCAGCCTCCTGGTTGTAAATTGCTAGCTGTTGCTATTGTCTTTGAGTTGAATTCAATCTCTCTCCCATGTTGTAATAATTTGACTCCTATTGCAATAGTCTTGAGTGAAGTCTTCCTCACCATGTTTAAGAAGTGTTCCGTTCTTTAACCTAAGTATACCTCAGGATATGATGTGGAAATTCTACTTTTTCAAAACTTTACTTTTCTATAGGAATACTAAAATTTTTATAGTTGCTTATTTATATTTTAAGTTTCTAGGCAAATTGAAATTTATTCTATCTCAGAATAGTTGACATTACATTTATAAATGGCTTGCATTTCCTTCTGGTCTCTTTTCTTACCTTTTTGAAGGGAAGTCTGGTAACTCTCCACCACAGACCTCCTCTCCTATTCCTCCATTGCATTTGAGTATGGGTGGAACATGGCTTCCCAGTCAGAGATTACATCTCTCACCCTCCCTTGCAGCCGTGAGAAGGACTGCCACTAAGTTCTCACCAAGGGAATGTAAGGGGAAACACATGTACTCCTGTGTCTGAGACCTAAATACTGGGGAACCCCTCCCCCCATCACGCTCTGTTATTTCACCTTGGATGTGAACATGCCTGTGCCAGTTTCAACCATGTGGATGAAGACAATGGCCTAGGAGGTAGCAGAGCAGTAAGAGAGAAAGAACCAACATCCCCAAAAGATTGCTTGGAACAGAGAACACCACTTGGTCCATTTGGTCCAGCTTGGTCCACTCACACTAGGATTATTACAGGAAGAGAAATAGCTCACTGCAATGTGAGGCCTCTTATTTAGGCCAATGTATTTGGAGCCTCTTTCTGACTGCAGGTTAGTCTTATTCTTAACAAACACATTCTCCTTTTTCTAGTTCCATTTCTGCCATTTCTGTCTGCCATCACCTCCTCCCTTTAGACCTCTCAATGTTATAATCCTTTCCATTGGTTCAGTTCTCTCTTAAGAGTGCAACTGTACAATTTTGAGTTATCTCAAAGCCCAAACACAAGCCACTTATCTATCCTTACCTGATACTTTCTTTTCTTAGGAAGTGTGCTAAAACAAGGTCTACCTCATCAACTATCAAGTGGCCAGCAGATTTGAAACAATACGGGACCAGATATGCAACAGAATCATATTCTAAGCCGAGCTCACTGGTCAGGACCACATCGAGATCAGGGTTCAAATGAAAATACTTGATCAGCCTGAAGCAAAGGCCATGCTCTATCCTTGTGCTACAATGAAACAGCGCACTGCTGAAGATCAGAGTATCCCACGCAGGAGCACACACTAACTTCTTCAGGTCCACTCTTTTAGTATATATGAAAGTCAACTATAAAATAAGCTGTTAATGATAGTATGTACTGCAATTTATGAATTGGGCTAGAACTATGTATTTCGATGAATAAAGATCGTCATATTTATTTGGTGATCTTTATGTCCCAGCACAGACGCAAATTTAACTGGTGGAAAACAGAGCAGGGAAGCTGGTCGCTCTCCACAGGAGTTACAAATGAACAGTATCCATAATGAATGTATAAATAAGGAAAACTGAAAAAGAAACCCATGTGTTCTTGAATCACAAAATCCGATCTCACTTCTCTTCTGACATGTTTATTCTTTCTCCCCAAACAAACCTTCATAATGATAGTTAATTGAGTTGTTACATTATGTCTGAATATTCCACTCATGCCAATAAATAATAACCCATCTTGAAAATCTACTTTTAGATTTAATAAGCTGTATTTGGGGAATGTTAACAGCTTGGTTTCACTTGACAAAAGTCAGGGGACTCTTAGTCATAAGCTTATGCATGTAACTAAGTAACCAAATATTCCACAATATAATGAGAAGGAAATGGAGATGCTCACAATGAAAAAAGAAGGATGTTTCATATATGTGGCACTCTGCTGTAAACCCAATCATTCTGCAACCCAAGCACAGATACCAACTCCAGAAAGTCTTTCTATGGTTCAATGTCAAGCCTAAAGAAAAATAACTAAAATATTACCACCTCAATATCAATTATTGTAAGTAGAACCAGTTCTTAAACAGCATGGACGAGAATAGCACAAGAACTCTACTTTCTTTCAATGACACTCAGTTAAGGAACATATCCTCATAAACAAGAAAAACGTTTACCTGCTCTTTAATTATTGTTAATTCAGAAACAATATTCTTTACACTGCTGTCTCGGTCTTTTTTATCCTTTCCAAATGCTGGGTTATGTAAATTGACTTCTTTCATTGCTAAAAGATTTTGGCCACTACGCTTTCTAACCTAAAAGAAGACCAGAAAATAAAATAAAAAGAATAAATAATAACAATGGGGTGGGGGGAGAAAGAAGGAAAAAGAGATTGATTAATAAGTCACATGATTAAAACAAGTAATCTAAACAATCTACATAAGTAACAGAATTTTTAAAATTCTGTCTATACACTAAGCTCAGCTTAAAAAACTTGTATCTCCTGGATCAGTCTGCACTATTCAGTAGGTTTTCCTGGGTAAATATTGAAAACTCTGGTATGAATTTAGAGGAAGTCTCGTGCACTGGGACAAGCCATTTTGACTATTTTTTTGTGAGACATTAGCAAGGACTTTTGTCTTCAAAGATCAGTGACCAATTTCTAGAGCTGAGAGCTGAAATAACATTAGTACAGCTATTTGATGGGCAAAAACAACCATTCTAATTTGTATCTGTTTTTCATTAACGAGGGTTCTAATCCAGTTGCATGGGTGTGTGTAAGTGGGATGTCTGGCTTGCTTCGGAATGTCAGAAATATTGTTCCCCAAGGGCAAAGTCACCTTGTAGACACAGCCAAAAGCTCCACTTCCAAGATGATCCAAAATCGCATAGTTGCCTATATATTTCGAAGGAGCTTTATTCTGATTAATGCTTTCAAGATTTTCAGCGATTTGCTTCAGTTCATCCTCCTAAAAGAAAAAATAAAAAGGAAATGGGCACTATGATAATTTTCATTCTTGACCACATACGAGCCTGACCAAATATTTAAAACTCAGGACTTACCACTAACAAATTCAACTTTGATACCAATTCTTCATAAGCACTGATATCACGAACATAATGTCCTATATCGATGAAGATCTCAAACAAGTCAGTGGGGAAAAGTCTACAAGGAAAACATACACACAGACATTTCATGTAGGGCTTGGTAACTGTTGCTCATTCTTTCCCTTTGGGACCTAGCTTACTCACAGATTAATTACATTAAACAAACTTAACTTCCTTAGGTTGTCAACAAAGTGGGGGCAAATAGCATTCACCAGCTTATCTCACAAAAATGAACTAGAACTATTGTTCTTAAGGGATAATGAAAAGCAACCAGAGAGGAAAATTTCTAGAGATGTGGGGTACAACATTGTGCTTACAGTTAGTAATACTGTGCCCTACACTTAGAAATTTGGTAAGAGGGCAGATTTCATGTTATGATACAAATTATACAAAAAACTTGTTTGTAAGATATTTGGAGGTACAGGCCTTAAACACTTTGGAAAGGAATGTTTGTGGGGTGTTTATGGAGAGCTGAACACTTTCATAAATGCCATTTGATTCAGTCCTCATATTAACCCTAGGAGGTAAATACTAACCCCATTCTTAAATGTTTTATGAAAATAAAAGAAAAATACAGGTAAATGAAAAAAAAAAAACGGAGAGATTTATGAATCATTTGCAGGGTACTGGTTTTAAGGACTTAGTAAAATCACTAAGTCCATAAAAATGGTTGGTTTAGGGCCTTGAAGTAAAAGGTTATAGTAACTTTACTTCTTTTTCTTCCCTCAAATTCAAGCATCATTTGTAAATAAGGTAGCAACATAAAATGCACCAGTGCTTCTGAACAAAACACATTATGTTAACTCAAGTTCTTATTTCTATCCACATTATCAAAAGATTTCTAGTAAGAACTTGGGCCTATGATTTTGGCCACCCTGGCCAAGCCAGGGGCATGCAGACCACACATGTAGGTAACTACTGTTTGTTTCCCAAGGGGCTGATTTTCCTGTCACGCTCACTAGCACAGCCTCCTGACCCAAGAACACCTAGCCTCCTCCCCTTCAAATGAGCTCCTGCCTTATGAAGGATACCCTGACATATGCTTCTTTTCCATTGATTCACAGGAAATGCATAGACCAACTTTGGAATTTCTAAATGCGTAAGAACAAGCACATATTTTGATGCCATCCATTTAAAATGTTAATGTCCAAGAAAAAAATTGAAAAGGAAAACTAAAAACCGTAGCAGTCACAATAATTAAGAATTATACTGATAGAGAGATTTATTCCCTTTCTTCAACATTTAGTTCACTTTCAGGGTTAAGATATCACTAGGGTAAGTCAGTGTTATTATGTGCAGATTCTAAGAAATCTGAAAACACATGCTTTGCTTACTGCTTCATTCTTCTCTTACTGTTTACATCTAAATCAGGTATGTGAAAACTGTGCACTCTCATGATCACTGGTCACTTAAATTTCTCTAAGCTCATACCTTTTAAAGAGTGGTCTGTTTCTTTCCATACTGAAGAGAAACCTCAAGGCTCTGAATGCATAACACTGGAAAATAAAAGGGTGTGTGATTCTCTAATGGTAGCTCAGCAAACTAAAACATCCCCAGTATAAAATTATCAAGAAGTAAAGAGTAAAGTTACTTTATTGTGAGTGGCTGGGCTCCGTGGGAGTCAAAGCTTAGGACTAAAACCAAAAACCATCAATACCTGGGGTAGGTCTCATATTTTTATTTTTATTTTTTTTTTTTTTTTTTTTTTTTAAAGTTTTTTTTTTTTTATTTGACAGAGAGAGATCACAAGCAGGCAGAGAGGCAGGCAGAGAGAGAGGCAGAGAGAGAGGAGGAAGCAGGCTCCCCGCTGAGCAGAAAGCCCGATGCGGGGCTCGATCCCAGGACTCCGAGATCATGACCCGAGCCGAAGGCAGCGGCTTAACCCACTGAGCCACCCAGGCGCCCCAGGTCTCATATTTTTAAAAAGTGTTTATATTGTAGAATGCTCGGATGTTAGCCTTGTTCCACTCAGTACTTGTCATTAATTCCTTTCTAGAAAGAACAAAATGAACACAGAGACCAGAAATAAAATTCCTACTCTGAGAAAACCAAACGTGCAGAGATTTTCAGGAGCTCAAGGTTTATTTTCTTTCTAGCCTGCTATGTATGCCTCAATATTTATATGGCTTCTATGAGAAAATAAACACTTGAAATGATGACATATAAAAATAGCCACAGGCACATTGGACTCAAACTTGACAAATTGGTCTCTTGAGTAAAGAGTCTTAGGCGTTCCCCAAATAGAACAATCTACAGTAACTCCCGAGAACACTCAGAAAGAGGCCTGTGAGACTTGACTGAAGAAAAATAAATGTCTAAACGTCTGACGGTTTGCAGTGCCAAGAGAAAAAAACAGAGAGCCCCCGGCCTGCAGTTGGGCCTGGACACAGGCCACCATGGGGGTGATCGGGGTCTGCTGAACTTGGATCTGGAATCATTCCATAAAATTAGTGGTCTGAATACAGAAGGTCCCAAATAAAATTGCCCAGAGAAGCAGGCAGCTGACACAATGCCATGACGGAGCCTGGGGGAGGGTGGCGGAGGCAGTGAGAAAGTACAGGACGCAAATACTCCTCGAAAACCACTTTTCTTTTTCTTTCTTTCTTTCTTTCCTAAGGATTTTATTTATTTATTTGACACAGAGATATAGAGAGCGCAAGTAAGCAGAGCAGCAGGCAGAGGGAGAGAGAGAGAGAAGTAGGCTCTCAGCTGAGCAGGGAGCCTGATGCAGGGCTCGATCCCAGGACCCTGGAATCATGACCTGAGCTGAAGGCCGTCACTTAACCGACTGAGCCACCCAGGAGCCCCCTCAAAAACCATTCCAATGTGAATTTTTAGGAAGCAGCAACAGGCTTGACAAAATGCATCTGCATGGTGGATTTGCCTCTTTTTTCCAGCATCCTATCACGCACCTGTGGCACAAAAGAAATGAAGTCCCACCCCTGTATGTTCTTATGAGTAGCTCTTGAAAACCTCTGCCTTGCAGTCCACAGATACCACCAGAACCTCTCTGCTCATTTTCATTCTCGCTCTGGGTGACAGCCCTTCAATCAGGTTGGAGGTAAACATGGATTCTTACTTCCTCTTCCTAATGACTTGGGGGGGAACGAGTGGCAAATACTGCTAAGGCTTACTTTTAATCTGATTTTATCTTTCCAGTATCTTCGGGGACACTGGCCCCTTGATGCACACTCTTCAAAACAGCACACAGGTGCAGTAACAGGCACCCCTCTTACCTGTGAGGCCTCACCTTTCTCCCCTGACCACAACCCCAGCCCCACTGGGCAGCCTAAGCACACCCTAAGCTCCCTGGCTCTCCCACCTTGTACAAGTGTTCTCCCTGTGCGGAATGCCCTTCCACCCTTTAAGCAGATGCCACGGCTGCCCCAGGCATACCCCTTCATCGACTTGGCAAGTCCCTTCATCTACCCAGATCCATTTTACAGGCTTTCCTTGTAAAGATGAAATGTTACCAACTGTGGTCAGTACTTAAAGATGGAATATAATTTTCCTCTTACAGTTTTCCGATATATAAGCATTGTTTTGGAAAAAAAAAAAAAAGAACTTACTGATCAGCAAAGAAATACATAAATAAAATCATCTGATCGCCCCACCCAGAGAAACCACTATTAAGCCCTTTGTGTTGTTTTAACAGCATTTGTTTTCAAGCCAGCCTCCTGCACCTGATATTTTTCCCTCCCAGTCACTACAGAGAATTTCAGTAACTCAATACTGAAGAACAATGGACATGCTTATTACCTGTAATAGATTCATTTTTGCTGCATTCTTTTGTTTGTTTGGTAAAATTAGCTTTGCTATTGTATATACACCATTTTCCTGGAAGAATAAAGAACCCGTGTTATCTATGACCAGCGGCAATGCCATAGAGACACAGAAGCACAAAGAGGCAACTACACAACCTCAAAAATTAATGTTAGAGAAGAAATATTCATAGAATTTTAGTACTTTGTATAAATTTACAAGAGAACAGTAAATATATCAATGTAATACTTTTAAGCACCAAAAACTACAACCACAATCTAAAATTTCAACCATCTTTAAAGAGGATAAATCATAAAGCATATCAGTTTAAAGTCATTTAAATACTTGAAAAACAAAGAGTAAGGAATAAAAAGGGACTGAGTAAAGGGATCCAAATATCTTTATACTTCACATTTTAATTGTCTAACTATGAAATATAATTTCTCCCCTTACAGTTTGGTAAGAACTATACACATAAATTATTATAGAAAAGAACATAGAATAAATAAATAAGAGTAATAGATTTAAAAAAATGAAAGTGATCCATGAAAAGTACAGAAAGTTATCCTTCTAGACTTACTCTAATATATACACAGAATGAACAAAAAGTGCTAACTTATTGCTACTTTTCTATTATCTATTAAATACTGGATTTGCTGAACTCTATTATACATGGGCTTTTATATTAAAATCGTGCAGAGATTTACCTCCCTTTCTGCACTTCGTCTTTATAGCTATTCTGTGAGTCAGTCTATAACTTTCCTGCTTTATCTATGACAAAACCAAATCTTAGAGAGACTAAGTCATTTTTCCAAAGGCTGAACCACCAAGAAATGACAGTAGGAACTGAACCTCAACATGGCCAAGTCCAAACATCCTGCTCCACCACTAACCCCTGATGTGCTGAGATTGCCCTCGAGCCTCTAATCATCAGTGATCTGATCTCTTATGATTTTATGTATTTGTGTATTTTGAAGTTGAAGTTGGATATATTGTATGCTACTTCCATATACTGCTGTATATGTGGTGGACTGATTAACAAACTATGCTTTGTGAAGCTGGTTTCTTGGCAATATATATGTTGTTGGTGTGGTGTTTTAGTCACCTCTAGCTAAATAACCTGATATGCTCTTAATTCAAATGACTACTAACTTCAACTCATGGTATCCTATATGTCCAGAATTAAAGCAATTCAAAATTTGTTTTAAAAAGAGATAAAATGAAAAACTGCACATAATATAGGGAAGAAACACCATAGATTAACCACAGGGCAGGTCTCTCTAAGCCAAGTGAGGTAAAGGAAGGACAAGACTATAAAATAGAATTCTAGGAATACCTGGCTGGCTCAGTCGGTACAGCATGTGACTCCTAATCTTGGGGGTTTGAGTTTGAGCCCCGTGTTGGGTGTAGAGATTACTTAAAAATAAAATGTTAAAAAGAAGTTTAAAAAGTTAGGGATGCCTGGATGGCTCAGATGGCTAAGCATCTGCCTTTGGCTCAGGTCCTGATCCCAGAGTTCTGGGATCAAGTCCCACATCAGGCTCCTTTCACGGTAGGGGAGCCTGTTTCTCCCCCGTCTTCTCTACATGCAGTTCCCCCTGCTTGTGCACTCTCTCTCTGACCAAAAAAATAAAATCTTAATTTAAAAAAAGTTTAAAAAATTAAAAAATAAAAAAGAATATAAAATGGAATTCTAGAACTTAAATAAGACCTATTAAACATCTTAAAACCACAGCATGGGATCCTACAAGCTACATTCTGGGATATAGAGTTTGCCCGAGGCAGGGTCTGTGAGCGCAGACGTGAACTGCAGCCAGAGCCCAGAGAGCCGCGTTCTCACCTGGACCACCTGGTGGGCATTGGTGTCGTTGAGCACCAGCTCGGTGAGGGCGGCACAGCAGGCTGGAAGGAAAACCACCAAGTGATCGCATCTGTCATCACCAACTGCGCTGTACATGGTTCTGTCAATATTCTAGCTCCTCAGGGAATCCTGTGAGCAGAGTCACTCCTCCAAACACAGTACCCTTCCCTGTGACATAGCTCTGGGGGGAGGGAAACTGACTTGCAGTGGTGCCTGCCTCTGCTCGTCATGTAATTCGTGCGCATCTACACCTGTCAGCAGCATTTTATTGAGCACTTACTGTGTACAGGGAGGCAGCATCATCATAAATAATCCCCAGTGACCAGCAGGTGCCTGGCACTCAGCAGGTCCTCGGTAAATACATCCACAATGGTTGGATACATGAGTACTTCAAATACATGATCCAAATTATCCCTTGTAATCAGAGGATGTACCATGACTATCAGCATTACTGATGAGAAGACTGAGGTTCACAGAGACTGACAGACAAGAACAGAACTTACTAAGGGAAAGAGGCCAGAAGTCTAATTGCATCTGCCCGATGTTAAATCCCACCCCTAGAGCACCACCCTCCCTGCCCGCTCACGGCCACAGCAGCAGCCTCCCATGACATTCTGTACCGAGCTGCTTCTTGTCCAGCCAGAAATGTGCTGGATCTTATGGCACAGAGCACCTGTAAAGGGTGCTACCATTTTATGGGGCCCTCGTGCTGGCCCTGCACTGTGCCTTGGGCATTACATATATCCTCATATACTTCTACCAGCCTGCCCTCCTGCTGCTGCACACTCCCACCAGTGCCTCTCTGACCCCTCCACTGGCTGCTAAAGGGCGCCCAGCACGGTCAGCAGCACCAAAGCACCACTTGTCCCAAACGCCAGGTGCCCTTGTGTGAACCTTGTTCGGGGTTGTGCCAAACTGCCAAAAGTGTGGGCATACATCCCTGCTCCTGCTTTTGTGCAGCAAGAGAGGCTCTGACCTCCCTTTAGGTGCTCACATGGAGTAATGAAGGCACCCCCTTGTTTCCAGGGGAATGGGTGTGTGGATTATAGAATCTCCCTGAAGGAAGGTGCCCTGAGATCTAGAAAATATAGGAACCATGATTCTGGCCACAAAGCAAGCTGAATTCTCCAATCCAGCTTTACCAATAAAAAGGCTACTATTCTGCTCTCTTCATGTCTGAACTACATGCTGATTTCTCAATGTGTTCAGAATGTGAAAGGGAGAGAAAAGTCTGTGGTATGACTAATCTGCAGGCCCAACACGAGTTCTGGAGGTTTTAGTCATCTACATGGATTTAACTTCACAGTTTTTAAACTTACAAATTGTGCCTACTTCCTATTACCATACATAACAGAATAATAAATTATTATCACCATCACAGAGCATAATAAAACAATATGCTAAACAGTATCAAATAGTAAAACATAATAATATGATATAAATACCTGCTTGAAGAGAAAAAGTATTTTCTTGTATTTCCCGAGGGCTTAAATCTTCTGACAAATGAAGCTGCTGGATTCTGCCCGCTGCATTTGCACTAGACAGGCTGCCAATGGAAGAACGATCGGAAACAAAATTTCTGTCTCTGAAAAAGAAAAGTGAATGTATAGTTTATCAATTTTCCCTCATGGTCAATGCTTTCTGGGTCCTGTTTAAGAAATGTCTGCCTCCCCCAGGCCGTGAAGTTTTCTCCTATGTTATCTTTATTGTTTCACCTTCCAATCCACCAAGAATGGGTTTCTGTGTGTGGTGTGAGGCAGGAGTCCCTTCTTTCCTTCCTTTTTTTCTTCCTCCCTCCCTTTCGTCCTTCCTTCCCTCCTGCTTTCTTTTATGGTTACTGAACTAACTCTAGCACTCTGTCAATTCTTCACAGCTTCACATGCCCACCTTGCTTTTTTGTTTTATGATTTCATTTTTAAGTAACATCTACACCCAGCATGGGTGGCTAGAACCGACAACCCTGAGATCAAGAGTTGCATGGTCTACTGACTGAGCCAGCTAGAAGAGCTCCCCGTTCCTCCCCCACCTCTGTTTTTGAACCCTATTCTCCTGCTATCAATTCACCTAACTAAATGTCAGTCTTCTTCATTCTGAGTTTTCTTTTTCCAAGCAATTCCAGTCTCTCCTTATTTTGGTAAAGATCTCTTCTTTTATATTTTTGAATTTTTAAAAAAAGATTTTATTGATTTATTTGAGAGAGAGAATGCACATGCATGCACATAAGTCAGGGGACAAGGAGCAGAAAGAGAGGGAGAAACAGACTCTCCACTGAGTGCGGAGCCAGATTTGGGGCTCCATGCAGTGCTCGATCCCAGGATGCTGAGGTCATGACCTGAGCTGAAGGGCAAATGAGCCACCCAGGCGTCCCATCTTTGAATTTTTTAATCATTTTGCTTTATTCTCTTACCTAGGATATCAGTTATCCACAGGTTGAAAACTCATCTTCTACAAGCCATATCCTTCATTTTCTAATTGTTCTCATTCGTCTTTTTTCTCCACATTATGTGCAATTTTTTCAAGTGTGCCCTTCCTTGTACTAATTCCAGTTTCTGTCTGGTACTCTGATGAATGTCTCAGTTCCATGGATTATTCACTCTTTGCCTTTTTTCCTAGCTCTGCAGTATCTCTCCTCCCCTTTTTATTATCCTAGCATCTCATCTTTAATCTCAGGTCATAAATGTCATGTTCTGTTTAATACCTTTGATAAAATAAAGCATATTTTTCTGTTTACTCAAGGTAACACCTTCCACAATAGCTTCTTCATGTCTTTTATCCATTTTGTTCCTTTTTGTTTAATGTGGCTACTATATTTTTTCATTTATTTATTTTTTATGGCAGCAGCTCTATCTTGATTTCTTTGTGCCTATGTATTGCATAGATGGATTCACCATGGCTTCATTCCCATATCATCTGGGCCCACTAGCGCCCTTCCTTCAGGTAGCATAATGAAAGTAATGGAGATAGGTCTAGGGATAGTCACAGCTTGTGATCTCATCTGTCAACCAAATTATGTTAAACTCAAATTTCAGAGAACACTCCCCCTCCTCGAGTCTATCGCCCCTCAGGAACTCTCTGGAGTTTAGGATTGTAGGTGAATGGGCATGAACAGGTTTCCTGGAAACTGCCTTGACAACTCATGACAACTCCTACTCATGCCAGCAGACAGCCTGGCAATCTCCACCCCTTGTACCAGCTCCAGGCAGCAGAGGGGCAGGTGCAAGCTCTGAAAGGATATTGCTTACCCAGCTGGGGTAATAAATTCTCCCGAAGCACTGAGACATATTTAACATACAATAAGTGTTGACATATATCATTTTCCCAGGAAAGAGTTTTCTAACACTGCAGCATAGAAATGGACTCGCCAACTGACTCTTTAGATATGAAAGAACTCATTTCTCCCAAGGATGGTTACATTTTGAGGAAAACTGGTGCCTTCTTGTATTAAACTTAATCTACATGGTAAAACAGTTTTATCTCTGAAGTACTGCTTAACGATCATAGAATTTGATTTTATCATCAAGAAAATAACTGCTCTCCAAATGGGCAATCTATAGCTGTTGGGATAGTTGTATCGACCACCCGTAATACCCACCACTACCATCAGCATCACCATCAGCATCCTACAGAAGCAAGCAAAAAAAATATAAAAACAAAAACAAAAACAAAAAACTTAGCTAAGTGTTCAAGGAGCTAGCTTATTATGCCACAGTACTAATGAAAGATTTGTAATTTGTACTATAAAGTATTTAACATTTTTACGTGATACTCATAAAAGCAAGTAGGAGCACCTGGGTGGCTCAGTCACATAAGCGTCTGCCTTTGGATCAGGTCATGGGCTCAGGGTCCTGGGATCAAGTCCTGCATTGAGCTCCCTGCTCACTGGGGAGTCTACTTCTCCCTCTCTCTGCAGCTCCCCCTGCTCGTGCTCTCTCTCTCAAATAAATAAATAAGTAAAAATAAAAATCTTAAAAAAAAAAGCAAATAGATTATCAATAGCTTATATTTTTTCCTTTGTTTTGGTAATGATAGGAATAATTAATAAAGCTATTGTCCATATCTTTATAGTCTGCTCTTACGCTTTGAAACATTCCCTCACAGAAAATGAAGTTGATAACATACAGTTCCATAATATACATAGAGGTAAAACAAGCACAAGGTCTGAATAACACTGATGTGATAATATCTGGTCATACTGAGAAAGATAAGTCACTCTGCTTTTATTAGAGAGCTTTATTTATGTACACACGTTACAAGGGTGATTCCTTTCAGGGAGACATATTCTTTTTCAACTTTGATTCAGTACCTGTAGGGTTGAATTATGCTTTATAATAATTTTAGGTACTATAACTTTCCCATTGATGGTACCAAAAGATATCATTATCCATGGCTTCAATATATCTAATACATATTTATTGAAACATACTTCAAGAAAGTTTCAATTTGAAACTATTTTAATAACCATTCCTTCTCCATACTCAAGGTTTTGAATGTTGTTAGCATTCTACTCTTAAAAGAGAGATGATAAAGTGTTAGCTCACCTTAAGAGCAACTGGACCAGGGTCAGTAGCATGGCAATCGTTTGATCAACAATATTTTCCCCCATTTTAACTATGGATTATACATCTGTTCTTTAATTACAGGTTTTGCTTTCTCTTTATAGATGAATGACATACAAAATGTCATGCAATGTAGACATTTTAGCAAAAAAGTAAATTTAAAGTAAAATTGCAAGTAAAATTATTATACTTGTTGGGATTACAATACGCATTGAGTGCGTCAAGAAAAAGGTGGTAAGCTAAATGTCTTCTTGTGGTTATTGGGTCTCGTTCAATTTACATTTGCAGACTGACGGCCTTCTCTAGTCCCAGCACTGTCATCGAGGCTGGTGATGCAAAGATAAATATTTCAGGGCTCCCAAGAAAATGCCCCTGATACTGATTTCAAGTATGTTTGTGACAAGTATAAGTGATTCTCCATAACATGAAGGACCAAAGAGCAGGAGGAAGCAAGCTGATCTGCCATCGTATGGCAGAGTCCCCAACCTTCAGTGACGAAGGCAAAGTCAGCCATAGCCCCCCTGACTCACCCTCGTAAAATATGAAGGAGCTGCTTGATGCCTCCCCAAATGCGAATTTCCACACTGGTCTCAGGGTCCTCACAAACCTGAACCAGAATCCAGACAACACTCCAGAGCAGCTTCAGGTGGTCAGAGTGGAGCAGACTCAGGAGGACAGGTATCCCCTCATAGAGCTTCACCTGCTCTTTCACTTGGGGTTCAGCACAAAGTAGGCGCAATAACTCCGCAGTTAGTCTGGAAGGGGATGGAGGGGAGGGGAGGATGAGAATCACAGCGCAGTGGTTACTGACTTTGCATTTGGACTAGAGCTATCATCACAGTGGTGCTCTAACATTTCCTAAGTCACGGATCAACATATGTTTTTGTAAAGGATTGGATCACAACAGAGTGTTTCAGGCTTTTCTAGCCATACAACTTCGGTCACAGCTACCCAACCCAGCCAGCACATGCAAAGGCAGCCATAAACAACACATAAAAACAAATGGGCATGGCTATGTTCCAATAAATCTTTATTTACAAAAACAGGCAGGGAGTCAAATTTAGCCTGCGGGACATAGTTTCCTGACCACTGTTCTAAGTCATAGCCTCCCTGTAAGCCCACTGGTCTGGCTAAAAACTGACTAACCAGCAAAAAGCTATCAAGTACATACAGTGGGACCGGCATTGTGCTCAAGACAAAAGAAATAAAGTTTTATCACAGTCTTCAGAAACTTACAATGTGGTTACAAAAACAGGACATTAAAACAAAATGCCAAAAACCACTATAATGCAAGGAGATTAAATGCAATGTGTCCAGTGAGTATCTGGACAGTAAAATAAAGATAATGATAGCATAGGACACATAATGTTCATCAGAGTTCTGAAACATTATGATGACGGAAATTTTCTAGAACCATCCTTAACCCTCGAGTCTCACACTTTAAACACTCTCCCTGGACAATGCCATCCATTCCCAAGACTTCAAACACCTCCTCTATCCCAGTACTGTGAGCTCAGCCCAGGCAGCACTCTCAGCCTCCAGAAGTTCTAGCCACACGGTAGTCCCAGGTACTCATCCCGCTGGGTCTCAACTCAAAGTCATTATTCTCCTCCCCAAACTGGCTCTTCCCCTTACATCCCCAGTGTTGATTCATGCCATCAGTCTTTTCAATTTTCCAAGCCAGAAGAAGGAACCATCCAAGACGCTTCCTTCTCCTTTCCCAATCCACTACTTCCAATCAAGACTGCCCCCTTTTTCCTAGGCAACTGCTGAGATTAATTCTCTTGCAAGTCATGCAGCTGTCTAACCCCACCGCTCCTCCCGTTCTTGTGATCCTTGATTGTGCTCAAGACAGAAGCCTCACTGTCACCTGCCTCTCAAATCTTCTCATGCCCACACTGCTCTACAGTTCCTTTCCCCTAAGCCAGTTTTCTATAGCTCCAATCCCTCCCAAACTTATGTGCTCTGACATTCAGAAAGTATATTCTTTGGCAAATAGTGTTCTTTATCTCCTTGATCTTTCCACACCAAACACCCCCTCCCTCGTTCTAAATGGAGCTCCTTGTGTGGCTATATTCCCCATGCTACATAGTCCACACACTGCTATCAGAGTAATCTCCCTGCAAAATAAATCTGATCATGCTTAAAATCTTTCTGTAAGTCCCCATAATGTGCTTGGGTAAAAAGCACACTCTTATTTGGCACAAAGAGCCCATTGTGACCTGGCTAAAAGCATCTTGTTGGAAATTGATGGGGTATTGTGCAGATCAAATGAACACACAGAAGTGCTTAGAGTGGGGCCTGCCATATAGAGAAAGCTAGACCAAAATTTGCTATATTTTTAACTTATCATTAACTGTCTAATCTAGTTTGCTGGCACTTTCCCTCCTGCACTCTGTTCCAGCTGTGCCCAACCATGCAGTTCCTCTAACACAGACCACTTCATGCCTCCAAACAGCACATTCTGTTTCCACTTGTTCTCTCCCTTTGCCTAGATAACTCCCTCTCCCTTCAGGAAACTTGGCGTGGCCCCAGGCTCTGACTGGGAGCTTCTGCTCTAAGTTCCCAGACTGTCCTTGACATCCATCAACCTCACCGCTCACGGTGCTCTGGTGCAACTACTGACCTGCATGCCCGTCCCCTCTCCAACACTACTCACTCTATCTCAATTCATCTCTGGTACTCTTAACACCTGTGCAGAGGTTGTTTTCCTAGAAATGAGTTCAGGTGAGCAGGTCTATAAGCATAGTCTGTGAAAGAGGATAAAACTAACTTTGAAGAAAGACTCATGGGGATTTATTATGGTTAAGTGTCCGGGTTTCATTACTTGATATTTCTGTTATCTGTTTTACCTCTTCAGAAAATCGTGACTTACTTAACTAGGTATCAAATGATGTAGGTTGCAACTCTACTTAAAAACAACCTAATAACTAACTGGATCCAGTAATTCTTTAGAGCAATATATAGTTCAATCAAAGATGAATACATTTTCGATTCTGTTTAGAGTTATAACAGGTGCTCATGAAACATGTCAGTAGCTATCCTCATTTATTTTACTTGCCTTAAGTGAAGTAGATTTTAACAATCTAAAAATTTATTCAATATACAATCTCAAATTACTAAAACTAGAGCCACTTCAGAGTTTCTTTACTTAAAAAGACAGGATGTAAAAAAAATTCAATAAACAAAAATATTAAAGATGTAATGACAATATTTATATAATTCGATCCTATGCCCAGATCAAAAGTGATACAAGACCAAAGATAAATCAATACACATCTTTGTTCTAGTTTCTTTATAAAAACTTAAATAGAAAACAAACGTCAAGGTGACTCATGACATTCAGTTAGTAAGGTAAATAGCATGACATAATAAAAATAACAATTATCATTTTCATCAAATATGACATTGTCTTGTTAGCAATCCTACCTTTTGGAAAGCAAGTCATATTCATGCAAAATCATCAGCAGATTTTCTACAATGTTGAGTTCACTTATCTTCTCCCTACATTCTGGACTACAAATTAAAAATTATTAGTAACTACTAAAAACATACTTTATCATATCCATTCATTTAATACCCTTGTTCTCGTATTATCTTGGAAGGAGAAACAAAAAGCAATATAGCTCCATGGGGCCAGGCTACATCAAGTTCTAACATTCAACAAATGTTACATGTCATCAATTTAAATTTGTTTAATAACAGTATGATGTCAACATGATTCCCTTTCTCCAGAAAGAATGATAGGCTTTTCATTAAAGAAGTAATAACAGCATTATTCACAACAGCCAAGATATTAAAATGACCTATATGGGCTTACATAAATACAATTGAATATTATTATTCATCCATAAAGAAGAAAGACTCTGCCATTTGTGACAACATGGAGGAAGCTGAAAGGAACTGTGCTAAGGTAAATACTGTATGATATCAGTTATATGTGGAATCTAGAGATGAGCATGGTGAGTGACTGTGAGGGGCTAGGCAGGAGGGAAATACAGATTAACGGGTACAAACTTTCAGTTATAAGAATGAGTACTGAGGATCTCATGTACAGCATGGAGACTACAGTTAGTGTGTATTTTAACTTGAAAGTTGATGAGAGCACATCTGAAGTGTGCTTACTGCACACACACAGAAAAAGTTAAGCATGTGATATGATGAGTATATTAATTCTCTTGAGCTTGATAATCATTCTATACATATAACGTATGTCACATCATCATGTTGTATACTTTAAACACATATAGTTATATGTGCGAATTATTCCTAAAAAAGTAAAAACAAGAAAAAAGCATTGATTCACTTATTGGCATAAAAATATATTTAAAGCACTTTTATTTAAAATAATCATAATGTCTATAAGAGAACGTGTTATGCAGAATTATTTTAAGGGTAAAAGTGTTTGAAAATGTTTTATATGTTAGAACGAATGTACAGGAGAGAACTTATTTTTAAGGTCAGAGAGATAAAGTTGTCAAAGATACAGTTGTCAAATACTGCTTTATTTTGAAGATTTTATTTATTTATTTGACAGGCAGAGATCACAAGTAGACAGAGAGGCAGGCAGAGAAAGAGGAGGAAGCAGGATCTCCGCTGAGCAGAGAGCCCGATGTGGGGCTTGATCCCAGGACCCTGGGATCATGACCTGAGCTGAAGGCAGAGGCTTTAACCCATTGAGCCACCCAGGCACTCCTACTACTGTTATTTTGAAAGTGCAAGTATCTGAGCATTGGATCAAAGACTAGGTAAGTATTTCTGGTCAAGAAAAAGAGAAGAAACTGTCGTTTTCCTTCCCAACTTAAGTTTGAAAATGATGCTTCTTCATTCAGGATCATCTTCAATATATTAATGCTACTTCATGCTTATTTTTCACAAATTATAACTATGTAGATAAGTAACTAGAGAAACTGATCTATTTTTTTGCCTCTCCCACCTAAACTGCTATGGCAGTGGAACTGGAAAGATATTAAAATACACTTACCTTTCAGCTAAACTAGCCAGAGCCAGAAGGGCACCCAACAAAACATTAGTATCTCGGGCACCAAGTAAATTTACTAATGTCTGAAAAATGAAGTAAAAGAAAGTTTCATTGTGTAAGTAGTACAAGCTTCTTGAGTGGAATAATGCTTATAATGCTTCTTTCAAAGATTATTGAGCCTTAACCTCAAAAGTAGTTTTTTTTATTAAACATTCACCACACCCAGCTCTTTGAGGGGGTACAACCTCTTCCGGGTTTGAAACTCAAGGCCAGTTCCTTGTGGCCCTTCCTTACCCAGAGCAGAAGCAAAAGGGACAAAGGTACATGGCCAAAGTTCTCACTCTTCCCTCTATTTTTATATGCCCAGGAGGGCCCCTCTGCCTCTTCTGCCCCTCCCCAAGGACAAGTAGGGAGACTAATGATAGTAACTATGATACTGGGAGCAACCAGCCATTGTTTTTGAGTTCATGTTTTGAACTCATTGTGAACCAGGCATTGTGGTAGGCCCTTTCCCTAGTAGTGGAACTACTTTTCACCACAGTGTTGAAAACTGTCTTTTTACCCCCAAACTAAGCAAGATATGTCAACCTTACCAAGCACTTCATTTGCCTCCCAGATTCCTAATTGATGTTTAAAGAGCATGAATCGATGCTTCCAGATATCATGCTAAGTAATACGACTTAACTGGAAGTCTGTACCTCATCAGTTGCCTTCTCTGAACTCCCATTAACGCAAATTCATCCCTCTACTCTCTAGACGTTTAGAACTTAGAGTCCTCCAAAAGTGCACATTCAGGCCAGAGCTGCGAGCCGTGTTACAACTGCTTGGCTGATTTTTGGTTTCTGTTATATCAATTTTCCCCTTTATGATTTCATTCATTTTTTTTATGAAGCTATCATCATCTTTATTTCTCCGATCCCCTCTTCTTATTCTTCTCTTTTTTCTCTGATCTCCTAACATATTCCCCAAACTTGAGTCACTGACATAACATTCCCACAATTTTCGCCATATCCACTTAACTCCTTAATGCTACTCAAAAATGTTCCTCAAATTCTAAGTGGTAATATCAGTGAAATAGATATAGCTATTGAAAATAAAAGTGTTGATTTGTATATGACCTAGAATCATCTCTTATATAATGAACAGCACGTGGGAACACATTTTAAGCAACCCTGCTCTAACATATGTTCAAAAGTGGCCTTTTGGGATATGAGAAATTAACAGATTATTAAAACTTGGCTGTAGGCAGCTACCATCTAAATAGTTTTGCTATAGATATAAATTTAGTCTGTTTTGACTAAATGTGCATCCATTCATCTTGAAATGCATGTTTGATCCATATGCCTGTAATATTATACCATCTGATTAGAGGGTTGAACCATATGAAATTGCCCAATAGACATGACAATTTCATATGGTTCAAACACACACAACTCCACGTGCCATACGGAATGTATTGATATGTATACACACACTTTGCTCATTTGTAAAAACACACACTGAGGGGCAGTTTATATATAGTTTATATATAGCAGGACTTACATATATATATATATATATATATATATATATATAAACTTATATATACAGTTTATATATAGCAGGACTTCTCAAGCAACATTTAAATAAAGCAACAAACTTGGTTGTTATTAAGTGGCATAGGAAAAAAGAAAAATAAAAAAGAGTTTCAGAAAACCTGTTTGCTATTCTGTGTTTACTCCTTAGGCTGATGAAGAATATTAAAGGCTTGGCAGAGATTTACAATTCTGGGCTAGGTTAGCAGGTCTGTGAACTATAATTATTAGAAACCTGATCACAAGGCTCTGAACCCCAGCATGTGAACCACTGCCATAGGAGACAAGTGTTCCCTCCCTCTGGGGCCACTCACCTTATGGGCTCCACTTGTGGTGACCCATTCTCTTTGGTCTTTGACAGCAGCAAGTTTCTGAAAAATATCTATAAAGGAAGGAAATAGCTCAAAGAGGGATTCGGCACCTAAGGGCAGCAGTATTCATAGAACCGCAGGTCTAACGTACCGATGGGCAAGCAGAGAAAGGGCGCATGGGAAGACAGACAACACAAAAGGAGGGGAGGAGGAGGAACAGGGTCATTTTTTTTTTTTATTATTCTGAGAATTACCTCTGAAGTTCAACTAATAATTATTATATATTATTATTATAATAATACAATATGGAGACAACAAAAAAGGCAAACATCTCCTTCTGCTTAAAGTTGAATGAGTTCCTCAACCTGATCACAACTTCAAAGTGAGACCTACTCTTCAAAGATCCATCCTATAAAGATTTCAGATATAAACAGGAGAGGAAGGCCACTAAAGATGATGGACCCAGCAAAGCTCCTCAGCTGAGCAGAACAGTTGTTCTGAAAGAAACTTCCTGGTGCCCAGGGATTACCACGTACTCTCCTTTCCCTGTAACTGAGAATCGGTGTGCTGTCCTGGAAACAAATACGGGAAACCAAACCCTTCAAAGAAAATGGGCCAGCATCCCACAGCAACAGGGGACCCACAGCTCATCAAACCTGGAGGGGCTGCAAGGTGGGGCTGGAAAGAGCCTCCAGAGAGAGAAGATTGAGTTCCACACACACAGACCAATGTTTCCACATCCTCATCATCACATCAGGATCTTTTTTTTTTCTTTTTTATGCTCACAACTTTTAAACTTTATGAGGCAGGTATTATTACTAACCCAACTTTATAGATGAAAAGTGAACAGCCTCTGGCATTTTAAGAGAAATCAAAGGAAGCAAAAAACATTTTTACCAAAATCTGCCATTATGGAAGTCCCTCTTGCATTAAAATAAACTTGTGCTCAGTGACAATCTGCAACATGAAAGTGGGCTTTTCAAGGTAAGATTGTGATTTGAAGTTTTCCTTCTGGGTATATTTTGCCACTGAATATAACAATTGGCAGGGACTCCCAATACCAGAACTGTGTGGATGGGTATACTCATAAATATTCAAAAGATCTTTTTTCCTACTGAAAAAGCCATCCCGCTCATTTGGCAAGTGGGAGAAGTTGCCGTGTCCCCGCAACAACACTTACACGTCATGTTGACCAGCTTGTCCACACTGTGCGGCTCCTCTCCGAAGCCGAGGTACTCATTGGCCACAATCTCCATGTACTGCAGGAGGGACCAAGCCAACAAGAGTCAGAAGGATTAGTAAAAGCACATGAGCAGAGAAGGGACAAGACATGTACTTCTGAAAATGACCTGTAGGTGGCACAATGGATTCACCAAACAACACTCGGGACTTCTGGGCCAGGTTCACTCAAGTGCAAAAGGTAGCTTGAGTTTCTAGATTCTTTGCCTTCTCTTGCATGCCCTGAGGTTGAGGGAGGGGCCATGGAAAGAGTGTATAAACTCTCAAAAAATGACGTGTGACTAAATAAGTTTGTGGTGTAATTTGGCTCCAAATACAAAAAAAAAATTATATCTAACCAGCATACACACCAATGACAGTAATCAGAATAAAATGGGCATGGGGTAGTCTGATAATCACTTACTGTAGATAACTGATTATAGAAACAGGGTCAGAGAAACACACATAAAATTCTAATAGAACAAGAGAAGTTAAGGTAGATAAAAGGATCCTTTACAATATAATTTTGTGAAAGATAAGCCATTTCATTAAATGAGGTAAACCTTCAGCCAATTAAAAAAAAAATCTTAAAAACAAAAACTAGATATGTTTCAGCAATTTCCCAAGAATGAAAATATAATAAAATATAATAGAATTAGCATTAACTGGCCATTAAACTTACTCTTCCATTAATAATACAGAATGAGTTTGTAGGGCCAAAGGTTCATTATGAAAATCATTCTTTCTCTACATGGTAGGAGAGTGGGCTGTCCCAACCCAATGCCATGCCTAGAAATTTTGCCTTATCATACTAATAAACCCAAACATTTGACTGGCTTAACCTGCTTATCTTCTCTCAGTAGTTACAAAAGCAGACAAATAAATGGAGTTAAGATCGTTCCTCACATCATCATGTATTTGGAAATATTTTAGTGAGCATAATTCTTTTTTTGTGCAACAATTGTGAACATATTTATAACCAATATTTTCCCATCCTTTGGTTTGTGCAATGTTGAGGATCTGGGCCTGCCAGCCAACACCTATTTCTTTTCATTACTAACTAAAGACATGTGACCTTTTATAGAACTTTTCTTGTTTCGGCAGGCTGGGTAAAATTAGCCGGAACAAAATGTCATGGGTCCCTTCCTGCTCTGTGAGTATCCTGCCTCACACACAGTTATCCACCCTGCCTGCTCCTCCGCTTGGCAGGCAGCCTAGGGTAAGAAAGCCATCTGCCGTCACACACCTATGTAATCCTTTCCCAGAGCCATGGCACCAAATGGAAAGGCAAAACCAGCCACCACGAAGGAATCTTACCTGAGCTAGGTTTTCAATTCCACCCAAGCTATGGAGTGTTTCCTAATAAAACAAAAACAACAGAACATACACAAAAGATGAGGGTGGAGGGGGAAGTATATTTTACATGTAAGTTCTTGATTAAATCATGAGATCGATAATTATTTTTGAAGTCCAGGTCCCACATAAATATGCAGCTCTTTAATGTTTGCTGTACAAACCGCATTAAAGATAAACTCTTAATAAATATGAAAGTTGGGTTGAAATTAAAAGAATGAAAATATGCTCAGACCTGCAGCCTGACTCCTCATTCTTTCTACTTCCCCTCATGTCATCATAAAATGTTACAGCTGGAAAGAGCTGTTAAGATATCACTCCCTTGGGGTGCCTGGGTGGCTCAGTGGGTTAAAGCCTTTGCCTTTGGCTCAGGTCATGATCCCAGGGTCCTGGGATCGAGCCGCGCATCGGGCTCTCTGCTCAGGGGAGATCCTGCTTCCTCCTCTAGCTGCCTGCCTCTCTGCCTACTTGTGATCTCTGTCTGTCAAATAAATAATATCTTAAAAAAAAGAAAGATATCACTCCCTCACACTGCAGATTAGTATAACTCAGACCCAGGATGGTAAGCCACTTTGCCTAAGTGACCAGCCTGGAGAGGAATGGAATCCAGCATCACCAACTCCCACGACCTTCCTGTAGGGCCCTGCCTCATGTGGTACACAGAGAACAGCATCAGCCTCATGGAGAAGCTGGTTAGAAATGCAGCATCTCCACCGTGCCCCAAACCTGCTGAGTCACATTCTGAATTTCCACAAAATTCCCAGGTAAATCACAGACAGTAAAAGTTGACTAGGATTGCTCTAGACAATAGGACTCCTCCTTGAAATGAAGAGGCTAATGTTCTTATTAAACCCATACTTTAAATGAAGGTAAGAATAATCATCACAAAATGTCTCCTGATACAGGCTTTTAAATCCAATGCCCAATAAGAAGACATTTCACAGAACTTCTGAAATTACTCTAAAAGCAGTAATTCGGGAAGACGGGGTGGGAGGCTGCAGTCATGAGAGGGACCAACTTGGAACTCTATTAATAGCAAGTGCTCTCAGATTATCCACATTGACATTTATCTTCAGGCAAACGTGTTTCAAGTGACCCTAACCTGTTTAATTAAAGCTGTACTCTCCTTAACATGCACACAAGGAAGTCATTTGAAAAATAAGTATTAGCCATCATTACAATTCTGGGAAATGCATGGTGATAGGTACACAAGTGTGAGGGAGAAGAATCTAGTTCCACCTTGAAATCCACTGGGTGGGTGGGCTGAAAAAAAGGCTCAAGATTCTTGAGGCCTCCTGGTCAAGGTTTCCTTATTGTATGTGTAGTAAATTTGGAAACACTAAACATACCCATGTTTAAATTAAGTATGAAGCAACACTTACAACTCAATTAAAAATAGTTCTCTGGCTACCCACTAATTTGAATTTTCACCATTGCTATTCACTCCAGAAGAGCTATAATTAAAGAACAGAAGAATATTGTATACATTATTCTTAGTTATGGCAGAATATTTTATACATATAAAAATAACATTTCAAGGTTACTAATGTTTATTCAACAGGTTTTTTTTTTTTTTTCATTCTTATTACATAAAAGCCCAGCATCAGGCTCTGAAGAGGACACAAATAGGCAGATGACTACGGCCGACCTCATTGAGCTTTGGGCAAGCATAAGGTAGATATACAAACAACTAGCATTTAAGACAGAATTTGGTAAGTGCCATAAGGAAGTTATACATGAAGTGCTATGATGTCCCAGGAAGAACACATAATATCCTGCTGAGAGGACTACAGTAAATGTCATAAGGGTGGTGACCATGGAAAAGGTTTAGAAGGATGGACAGATCTGCTGAGAATAAATAGGTGAAAATCGGGGAGATCACAAGCAAAGAGAACAGTAGTTCCAAAGATGATCTCTTGTTGTGCAAAATGAACATCAAGGTGTTCCATAACTCCAAGAAGCACTTCTGTAACTCCATGGCATTTCTGGGAATAATGTCAGAAAAGCACGGTGGGACCAAACTGTGTGAAGGCTTATCTGTGAGCCTGAATCTGACCTTCATCATGTGGACCATGAGATCAGATGACAACATTGTGTGAACAAGGGGTGATTAGAATCAGCTGTGAGGACCACCCTCTAGTTTTGCAATGAACTGGAGAGGGAAAGAAAGCCACCCGGAAGCCCTGTTGGTTGGCAGTGGCAGTGGGCAGGAGAACAGAGAGGCAGAGACAGTCTATGAAGTAGTGTGATCCATCAAACATGAAGACATGCTGGAAGAAAAGCAACGAAGTAGAAGACATCACCATATTTGAGCCGGGGGACTGAGGGGTAGCAAGATACTTTAACAGACCCAAGGAAGGAGAGAGGAAGAGTCTAGGTTAAAGAAGACTCCACTTGGGACATACTGAGCTGCTGATGGGATATTGACTTGAGAAAAGTAGAAGAGACCATGAAAGACGAGGGGAGGGCAAAACATTGAAATCTGAGAGTCAATGAATTGAAGAGGATTGAAATTTGAAGCTTGGGAGTGAGAAGACACCAAGAGAGAAAATAATATTTAAATGATTGGACATAGGGCGCCAGGGTAGTTCAGTTAGTTAAATGTCTGACTTTGGCTCAGGTCATGATCTCAGTGTCCTGGGACCCAGCCCAGTGTCAGGATCCCAACTCAGCAAGGAGTCTGCTCATCCCCTTGCCCTTTCCCCCATTTGTGCTCTCTCTCTCAAATAAAATAAAATAAAAATAAGGAATGCTTGGGTGGCTCAGTCAGTTAAGTGTCTGCCTTTAGCTTGGGTCATGAACCCAGGGTACTGGGATCGAGTCCCACACAGGGCTCCCTGCTCAGTGGGGAGTCTGCTTCTTCCTCTGCCTGCCACTCCCCCTGCTTGTGTGTGTTCACTCTCTCACTCTCGCTCTCTGACAAATAAATAAAATAAAATCTCTTAAAAAATAAATAAATAAAACATGATTGGCATGGTCATTTTTAAATTTTTACCTTAATGCGTAACATATCTATCCAGTAATCACTATTAAGAATTGGGAACTAGGGCACCTGGGTGGCTCAGTCAGTTAAGAATTGGGAACTAAATCCTATTTCCCAAACTCCATTCTGGGAATAACACCTTTATTCTGTGGAGTGGTTGGTATTAGACATTCTGTTTTAAAAATAATAATAATAATTTCATGACCAAATTCAAATCAGCTTGGGAAATGATAATGTTAAACAGAGTTTGAAAAATACTTTTATCTAAGGACCCCTTGGAGCCTTTAACATTCTGCTGGGCATTCTAAGCCTCCAGTGGGAGAACAGAGGTGCAGCTTTTCCCAAACAAAGATCATTCACTGAAGCACGCTTCTTTTCACAGAATGCGTATGAACTCCCGTGGAACACAGGAGTAAATATAGGAAAGGGAGAGAGGCTTTGTCACTCTCTGAGAATGTCGTTACATACTCAAGAAATTACTCTTCATATATGAAATAAACACTGCCCCCTCACCCCATGCTTCTATGTAAACTGGGGCAAGGCCACAGACTCCTGGTCTTCTTTATGTTTCCTTTGGTCATGCCCATGTGACCGCTTTAACCTGAGAGTGTCAGCTGGAGAAAACCAAGACCAAAAGGTCTGCACATACCTGGGCTTAACAGTTCTGGGTCCTAATCTGAAAAGCAAATATGACTGCGTGCTTGAATTACAGCAACACTTCCTGGGTGCCCCGTCAGATCTTAGCATTTTCTCCCTGGTCACAAGCCTGACGGTCACAAGACTGGGTTCAGTACCTCTGAGCCCAGTAACCTGGAGAAAGTCCCCAGGTCAATCTGCCCTTTAGTTCAGTGTGCAATATGTAATGAATGCCCTTGCTCTGACTAGTCCCTGAGGTTTTCCTTCCCAAAAAAAAAAAACAAAAAAAAAAACAATAATGTAATACAGATAATGAGTATGTTCTCAAAAAAATGGGAGCACAATGCAGCACCCAAATGGGTGTTGGTAGTGCACAACTATTTTTGCCCCAGCTGAAAATGTCAGTGCCATTAGACACTCTCATCCTAGATCTAGTCAGCAACCACATCAATGCCAGGCACATTGCAGAGAGCCCTTAATAGTGATTCGCAAATGTGATCACTTTACTTCACCATTCAAAACTCAAGAGTGGTTCCATGCTGCTCATGCTGGGGTCATGATTTTAAGGCCCCTCTGTGCGCTGGTATCCTATCTTTCCAGATGGAAGAGTAATAGTCTTCTAAAAACTTGCTAATGCTCTATTTGTAGGGGGTGAGTCAAAGGAAAATATAAGAGATGGTTCAAAGTTTCCTACCTTGGAGTCTGGAGGCAAGGTGGTGTCACTAAAAGGATGAGAAGTTGATTCTGAAGGTTTAATGTGAGAGGGAGAAGCAAAGGGCTCCATTTTTAAAGTTGCTGAGTGGAATGCACTCTCACAGTGCTTCTCAAACTCTTTGGTCTGTACTCCTTTACAATTTAAAAATTACTGAGAACCTCAGAGAGTTTTGTTTATGTGGGTTATATCTATTTTCCATCTTAGAAGTTAAAGGTGAGACATTTTTAAAGAACAGGAATACACAAGCACCTGTTCCCTCAGCCCTCAGAGACATGGCTTGTCACACATCCTGTCACCGCTTGAGAACTCCACTGCACACATATAAGGCAGCGAGTGTAGAAGGCAAACAACATTGTGGCATTCTTTTTAAGATATTTTTGGCCTGGTGGAAGCCCTGAAAGGCTTTCAGAGACCCGTAAGCACTCCCTGGGTCACACTTGGAGAACGATGGTGCTACTGTGTCATACACATGGCCATCCAAAATATCCCTGGAAATTTGGGACTTACACAGAGAGACAAGTATGAGACTGGAGATAAGTACTTGTGAGCAAAAAACACTGTTGACCACAACAGGTGAAGCCAAGAGCATGGAAGCTAGGGGAGAAGATGATTAAAGAAAAGAACTTCGGGAAGGTTAACATTTAGGAAGGCAGGATTAAGAAAAAGAGCAAGTAAAGAATACAGAAAGGCGCAAAGTGCTGAGGAAGGGCCAGAGCCCCAGGGGGTGGGTGAAGGCAAACAGAAAATGTGGGGAAGCCTGTGCGCTGCGACAGGAGTTGAGGAACGCAGGTGCTGGGAAAAGGTCACTCAGCCTGACTATCTTTAGATTGTGGTTTCTAATACAATTGTAGGTAGCAGCTTTTAAGATCTTCACTGTATCCTCAATAAGCAACATGCTCTGGCCTCACAAGAATGAGTGCAGGTGGGCATTTATGTTTCTCCTACGTGGGCCTCCTACTATACTTGAACTCTCAGAACATAGGTCTTTCATAATTAATTATGACAAACTCTACACATGTATACCTTCATAATGGCTACTCTTTCATTCCTTCCAGCTCCTTCTCCATTAAGCAACATACTGAAGTCTCTGGCAGGCAAGAGCCAATCTACCAAGCCACCAGTTTGCAACCTCTGGATCAAGGAATGCTGACTAAAGCATGGCTTCCTGGGAGAACCTAGTACACGGAATTCAGTGTGCAAGATATGCAGCCCATCGGTTCTGACAAACAGGAAGTAGGTTCAAGAGACATAGCCTGGCTTTTCAAGAAATGGAGTAATGAAGGTAAGGTGAAGATTTGAAGGAACACCTGGGTCCAGGAGAGGACATTTTTATGACAATGGAAAATAGAAGGGGAGCCACTGACATAGTAAGAAAGAGAATAGGTAGAGGGGAAAGCCTTGGCAAGGAGGAGGGATATTTCTTCTGAAACAAGAACATAAAGTTTCAAGGTAAGCCAAATATTTCAAGCAACAAAAAAGAGATAATAAGAGAGATCCCACTGGGATGGTTTTGGTTTTCTCCATAAAACAGATGATGCTGTGATTTTGGTGAGAATGACGGGGGCAGTGTTTGAGGAGTTGGGATTGGGGTATGAGAAGTGGATGGTTTGGACCAGCCTCTATGGATCCTGCAGCACTGACTTAACAAGAAGGGAAAGAAATGCCTAGCAAAAGTGAAGACTTGCTGAGATTCACTGGCATAAATTATAGTAAATCCCAGCAAAGCTCTGTGACTTCGGCCAACAGTTCTTGGCAACTCAAGAAGTTAAACAACTGCCTGACCACATGCTCTTCTTTGTGGAAAGAGAGTGTGGGGGAGAGATTCAGAGAGAATCCCCTTCTATGGAAAGGCTAGAAATCAGGGAAAGATTTCCTTTAATAGGTGTGTAGTCACAAAATGCCATAAACAAAGAGATCACTGAATTCTTTCCTGCAGAGAGCAGGGCAATCAACCCAGTCCCAATCCATCAAGAACAAGACTAAGAAACGCAGTACTTCAGATGGAGATCTGCAGAGTATGAGACAGCTGTCATCAATTCTCTGAACAGAGAGAACAGCTCAGAGTACATCTATTTTGCTAACTTCTGTAAGTCAAAAAACTAGATTTCCTGCTAACAATCCATCTTCATGAGAGTCAAAAAGGGCGTTATTAATAATTAAGTGGGAACAATGAGCACATTCTGGGACTGATCTGGGAAAAATGGAACACATGGTCCACCCTTATGAGATATGCCCCACACAGAATTTGAAATGGCAGCTCAGAAATACATGGAACACACAGTTCTATAAAGTTGGTCATGGGGGAAAGGATGCTATTTTCCCAGGAAACTTTGAGCAACCAGGACAGAAGGCCATTTGGAGTATGCTCTGAGGCCCACGGACAAAGCTAAATGATAATAGCACAAAGCCCCCTCAGAATACCAATGAGGAAGTGGTGATTCTTCTAAAAGGAAAGTAGTGGAACCACCATGAATCCCAGAAGTCTCAAATCAGAGCAGGCTCTGTAGCTGACTAGTACCAAAATACTTTTTTTTTAAGTGCCAAGTTTGGAAAAGGTGGTCACTGGGGTAATGAGAAGAGATACATTCTGACCCAAAACAATTCATCAATAAAATCAAATCCAAAATAAGAGATCTACCTAGTGGTCTGAGCTTCCCAGTAGGTTATCAGGACAGGATGTAAAAGGAGATGCTTCTTAGGGGGGAAAAACAATCTGTGAAAATTACTGAAGCATGTATGAACACTAAGAACACTCTAGATATTTAACACTGCAAGCAGAAGCAACAATGACTGAATAAGCAGTCTTGAGGCTTCAGAGTAGTGGTTCTTAAATTGTGGTCCTCTGACCGCAGCATCAGCATTACCTGGGAACTTACTGGAAAGCTCTTCAGGCCCTCCCCAAACCTATGGATTCAGAAACTGTGGTGATGGGCCCTCACCATCATGAAGTCCTCCATGTGCTTCTGATGGACACAAAAGTATGAGGGCTGCTGCTTGATGGAAGCGGCTATCTACCAGCCGGTACTGGAAGAATGAACTTTCAAGGTTCAGGTGAAATATTAGGTAAGCTTCTCTTTAGAGCCTCACTGCAAAAGCACTAAGTCCTGGCTACGCAATGTGTGGGCCATGGACCAGTGTCATGGACATCCTCTGGAAGCTTGTCAGAGATACAGAGCCTTGGGCCTCACTCTATACCTGCCGAATCACAATCTGCAATTTACAAGATTCCCAGGGGCTTCTTAGGTGCATTCAAGTTAACAAAGCACTAAACGAGGGGCAGGACACTCCACTAACTAGGAAGGGGAGGGAAAGGTTCTTGACCTCACAGCCCTCATTTGAGACAGACGGGAGGGTCCCTCGCTCACCTCTAACTCAGGGTCTGAGGCTGGATGTGGGGAAGGGCACAGCCTCTGGAGCAGCAGCCAAAAATGCAGGCCCTGCCTTTCCCTCTGGAGGCCTCTGGAGCCCCCTGGGAAGGCCCCCACTGGTCACTGCTAATGTTGACCCAGTGAGCTGCTGAGTCTTGCTATGGCCAAGTGTATACCTCTCTGATTGCCAGTGGGTTAAGACATACACCAAAAGTTCCATCCAATTGATCGCATAGTTCATATAGCAGAAACTTACAGATTGTTTTGTCTCTATTAAAGCGTGTCTATCTTATCTTTTTAGATAGCATGTGAGATGCCGCCTAAATTTGAAGGCTACTGAGTTGTGAGAGAGGAAAAAGGTTAACATGGTCCCAGTTTTTTTTCAATCTCATCTTCATGAAAAGTAAGAATTATTTTTATTTTTTCCAACCAACCTGGTAACACGGATCCCTCATTAGTAGTCTCAGACAGATTAACACTCTCAGAAAATGAAGAGATGGGGCTCGATGAACCCACTCTCTGAAAGAAGAAAAGAGAAAGCACGTTTGTCCATGTTTAAAAGGCCAGTGTGACAGAGCAACACAAGACAATGAAGGGGAATAAGGAACATGCAAAGGAACAGAATTAGTTTATTTCAAACTTAATCTGCAGTAAGGAATGTTAGTTGGTACCTGAACACTCAAACCATTGCAGTGCAAAATACATAAAGGCTGTCATTATCCTCATGAAGCAGAGGCCTCAAAATTATTTGGCTCCCAGTGCCCTCATTGGCTGAGGGCGGCGCCAGACCAAAAGACATCGCTAAACTTTCCAATAATTAGGTTTGACTCAATAAGAATTTATGCCCGGATAACTTGGTATCCATTTGAAAAAATAATACACATAATTATAAGAAATGTGCTTTTATTTTATTCTTGACCACATTTACTTATGAATGGGGTACATGCACCTGTAGGCTCTAAACAAATTCTCAAGCCTTGTAACCAGATTGCATACTACCATCTTCATCTTCTCTTCCAGCTGAATTTCACATCGTACTTGCTTTTATCATGACAACCACAGAAAACCCAGCTTCAGAAAAATATGCCGTCATCTAAAGGAAGGCAGCACAACCTTCATATGGAAACCATTAAGTATCTGGGTCTGACAGATATGGTGTAGCTCTGTTTTCCTTGCAAATTTAAAAGACCCTATGACACCCCTGGGTGTTCTCTGTAGCCTCCAGTTTGGGAAAACACTATGATAAAGTACTTTCTTAGGTCAGTTTCCCCAGAAGCAGAACCTGAGACGAAGGTTGGTGTGCAGGTGAATGATTAAGGAAGGACATGTCCTCGGGGGAGACCACTGAGGGTGGGGAGCACCAAGGAGAAGGGGAAAAGCAAGCATGGGCACCATCTCAAGCAACACTTGTCTCCCACTGCCCTCAAAGCTAGTCCAACAGTGGCGCTTGGTATAAATGTTAACAAAACCCTAGAACAAAAAGTGCTTTTTTACTCCATAGTTAGCCAAGAAAAACTGAGGAAGATGACAAAAGCTATTCCAGACTAGAATCCACATAATTTCTCCCAACCTCTCCCACCTGTGCCACAGCTGAGCTAGTTATGCATCCAGAAAGGTTAAAAGACTTTAAAGATCCGCCCTTCCATCACCTGGTACCTTTGCTTAAGCTGAGGTCCCAAGCCTACCCTTGCCTGGCCTGCCTCCTATTAATCCTTAGACTTTGGTGGTAGAATTCAGCTTCGTCTCCTCCACGGTCCTAAGAAATTCAGCTCTGCCCCCAAATCTGCACATCTTGAAACTGAGAGCACAAGACCCACCCTCCTTAAAGGCAGAATATCTATGGTCACTGCCCCTGGAGGTGTCACCTTCCCCCATTCTATTCTATCCCAAATCCTATCCACTAAAACTTAGCTCATGAGAAGGAGCTTGGGAAATATGTTTTTCTCATAGTCTTATATTCTAAGGATGCTTGAGTCCTCCTGAGATTAGAAGCTCCGTCAGAGGCCTTGCTCTGGAGAGAGAGGCTAAGCAAAATGTCCCAAAAGCATCAGTGGCTGAGAATTGCTCCTGGAAGCAGCTGCCCACCATAGCTACATCAACCACAGCCCTCTTCCACCCCAGCCACCATGACAGTACACCTTTGCTATGGAGACAAAGCTCAGTTTCTTCTGAGAAGAAAGGCAGGGCTCAACCCATCCCAGGGCGGCCAGCCCAGGCAGAATTAGCCAAGGCCACAGTAGGAAGCTGGACTGTTGTTGTTCATGTGGACTTCCTTGCATGGGGAAAAATAATGCAAATTCAAAAAACACTTTGAAATTACAACCATTACCTATGGGAACACTTGTAAGGATGTGGTTATTCTGAGGCTCCTATTACAGAGAGAATACCTTTAATCTTTATAAATAGGGAGATGGCACACGACTGCTTTCCCTTTCAGGTGCTGGGGTTAGCTAAAGATAGCACGTAGCCTGAACTGCGGTGCAAAGATACTACCTCCCAAAGATCAAACAGAAATAATGATCAAGTTGCCACAGCTGCTAAAAACCTAATGAGGTTTAATGCTGATTGCTTTTCATTATTTAAGAGGAAAAGCTACGGGACATATTAAGAGGTGATTCATGCTACAAATATGCGTGCACTGGTATTTTTCCTGTTAACTATATACACTCTTCATGAGGAAAGTTCATGACCTTTGCAATGTTTTTCATATTAAAATAAATATGAAAAGTTTTCTTTTATTTCCTCCCCCCTCTAAAAAAGAAAAAGAAATTCCAGAATAGGCTTCTTAAAATTATTATTATTAAAGGAGTATAAATAAATGAGTTCCAGAAAAGTCTCAGAGTTAAAAGTTCTGTTCCAAACAAATGGCATTTTTTGTTTTGCAATTTTGGGACTGAAGCCCAAAGCTATTAATATTTCTACATGATTCTGGCCTCTGCTGTTGTAAATGTAAATAGAATTCCTGGTGTCTGAGTCCTCTGGCTTCTCTCTGAGCACTGACCTCTGAAGGAGCAGTTGTTCCTTCCTTGGCTCCCAGCCCTGAACCCCCCACAAGGACGCAGCACATGGGATGGATCTCCGGTATTCAAGTGGAATGGAGTGCTCTGTAAGACGATATAGATCTCTGTTTGCCAAGAGTTGGGGGACTAGGAAACACAAAACTTAGTGCAACCAGAGAATTACAGAGAATAATAGCGACCGATCATAAAGACAGGGGCCCTGGTTCTACTGAGGCAGCAGAGTCCCAAGGAGCAGAGCGGCTGGCTCAAGGCTGCACATGAAAGCAGAACTGGGGGCTGACTTCTGGGCCAGTGTTCCCGCCATCCCTCCCATCCCCACCCCAGGTCCCCCAGGCGGGGGTGACTAGGGAGACAGTGACTCTCCAAAACGCATCTACTGTGGGAGCAGGAATGTTGAGCACAGCAGCCAGGGGTCCTCTGGGGCAGCTCTGAAGAAGCTGTCTGTCTGCAAAGATAGTGTTTCCTGGGAGGGTATGTCCCAATATAGCCGCCGCACAGCAGCGGATTCATGAGCAGGCAAATATTTATCCCCTCTTGTGACTGAACTTTTGCCACTTCTTTCACAGGACTATTAATACATGGCAGCGTGATCAGCTCCCACGGCCTTTGTTCATGACCACCTGCCACGTTGCTTTTAGCATCACACGCCACTTTCTGCTATCGATACAAAAAAGGGAAGGAAAAATGGCTCTGGCCGCATAGTCGTTGAAAGGAGGGTAGTCAGGGTTTCACCTTCTTGCATGGTGAAAGAGACAAATAAATACACAATGTGAGAGCTCCATGTAAAAGCCAGCCACGAGGCAGTGGTGTTGGATCATAAAACTGCAAGTACGAAGGTCAACAAGACAGCCAAATGGCTCTGAGGTTAGCTGACTCCAGGGGCAGACGCACAGCCAGAGGCTCACCCCTGACCTCATATATACCATGCTTTGCTCTGGTTCTTGCTCAAAATTAGCAGCACCTTCAAGGTGGGGGTGTTATTTCAATTTCCCTTTTCATTAACACACAAAACAACACCAAGAAAACTTCTACCTTCAACTCAAAATTTAGGAGTAGAGAAGTTCAAGCCTGTTTCAAAATAAATATTATCCCAAATTCATGAAACAGAGCCCTGTGGGGGGGTTTTTGTGTATGGGGGGAGATCCTAGAAGAGTAAAATTCACATCAAAATAGATATGGTAAAACTTAGATGAAAAAAGAATATGTGTGAAGAAATTAATTCAAGGAACCTTTACTGACTTGTTCCATTAATCTTAATGGGTCTTTATTTTTCCTCTAGTCCCAAATAGGCTCCCAACCAAAAGTCCATCTAATGGGTCTTTGCTGGTTCCTACAGTCAGTCATTGAGCAGAAAAGACGGTCTACATGCATTTCTTCTACATAGTGGATGGCAGTTTCAGAGGTTGAATGCTTTCACATATTATTCATCACCTTCTCATAGCCAGGCACTGTTACACACCAGAAGTACAGCAAAGGACAAAACCATGCACTTGGGGTGCCTGGGTGGCTCAGTGGGTTAAAGCCTCTGCCTTCGGCTCAGGTCATGATCACAGGGTCCTGGGATCGAGCCCCACATTGGGCTCTCTGCTCAGCAGGGAGCCTGCTTCCTCCTCTCTCTCTCTCCGCCTGCCTCTCTGCCTACTTCTGATCTCTGTCTGTCAAATAAATGAATAAAATCTTTAAAAAAAAAAAAACATGCACTTGTGTTCATGGAGCTTACCTTCTAAAGGGAGAAGATCAATGATAAACACAAACTAATAAAAATTCATATGAGGTGGCATACAATGCAGGACAACAAAGGTTAAAGTTTAGGAGTCCAGGGGATACTATTTTCAGGCAGTCAGAGAAAGGTTTTCTGATAAAATTAGCATCGAAATGAATTGAGGAAGGAGTCTAGGTCAGAAGAGCGAAAGAGTTAAGTATATAGTCCCCGAGCAGAAGTGTGGTTGATTATGCAAGGAACAGCAAGGAAGCCCATGGGGCTGGAGCCAAGAGAACATAGACAAGTAATAGGAGTTGAAGTCAGAGATGGCAAGAGCCAGATCTGCAGGACTTTGTAGAATAAGAACAGGGGCTTTGGACTTACTATTCTGGAAAGCCACTAGAAGGCTCTAAGCAAATAACTAACACAATCCAACAGAGATTTTGAAAGGATCCTTTTGGAAATAGTGTTGAGAACAGTGTAGGGAGCCAGAGATCACAGCAGGGAGCCCAGTTAGTCTACAGCAACTGTCTAAGCAAAACATGATGGCAGCTTGGACTTGGTCAACATATGGAGAAGAGTAAAGCTCGGGGTGCACAAGTTAAGCAGGAAAAATCAAAAGTCTTGTTTTCAGTATGTCAACCTTGAGATCTCCAAAGAAGAAAAAGTCTACTAAGGCATATGTAAAACAAAAGATGAATCAACAGCAGTTACAACTTACAAGGTACAGTCTGCCGGAGCGACGCTGATAAAGGGATGGGTAGACTTACGTAAGTGCAAGTGTTTGGGGGTTGGCT